GTGTGTGTGTTTGAAAATAAATACGCAACTTGCAAACTAAACTAACATCTTGATGATTATTGTTCAAAATTCAGGTGTGTAGGTGTTGTGTGAATAATTTTTTTTCCTTTTTTTTCTCAATAATTTTTTCGAAAAAGAAAAGAAAGGAAAAAAAATGTAATAAAAATCACGTTCATAAAGGTATATGATGGTGGATTGGAAAAAAATAAGATAAATAATAGAAATCAGTCAATCAAAGAATGGGTTTCATTGAAAATGTTCATTCATTCATTAAATCATTAACCTTGATTGGAAAAAATTGGAAAATTATTCACCTCATTATTATAATCATCTGATAATGTTGGTTGATTTATTGGCAATATTGATGTCATAATAATAATGGTTTTTTTTTCAATTTTTTTTTATTGGACCAGTGGATTTGCCTAATTATTCGTTTGTTTGGTTTTTTTTTGTTTTTGGAAAATAAAAGTGAACAAACGAACAACAACAAAATGATTCTGATTTCTAACTATATATTACATTGCATTGTTGTTTCTATGGTAATATTCAAAAAAAAACCATATAATTCGATATGTTCTCGAATCAACAAAAGAAAAATACTTTTTTTTTAATGAATTAGATAAATTGTAATTAATATCGATCCGCGGTTACACTTGAATAGGTTTTATTTCTGTTTTTGTTTTTGTCTGTCTCCCTCACTCTTAATTGTAAATTTCTTTGTTTTTTCAAAAACTTTTCTTTTTCTTTTTTTGAATTGCGCGCGTCATTTTCATCATTTTCATCAAAATCATCAACGGTGGTGGCGCCACTTTCGCTCGATTGAAAATAAAATGAAAAAAAAATAGTCTTCCAGGAAGTAAATTTTGTTGTTCTTCGTATTGATTTTTGTTGTTTTGCAAATCCTTTTTGGGTTTTTTTTNAAAAAAAATCATCGATATCGATGACTTTTCTGAGGAACAAAAGAAACAAACAAAACAAACCGGACATCCATATTTCTATTCGGAAATCTAAATATTCATTCGTGACATTTATCCATCAAAATTTTACCATCACCATTCGATTGATTGACAAAAAAGACACACTGACAAAATTGGAAATATCAAAAAAAACTGAAACTAAATCAATCAATGTTTTTTTGCTCGGATGCTAGAAATGGAAAAAAAAAGACTAAGACCGAGAGAGAAAAAATAAAGATTATTATTATTATTAACTGACTGACTTCCGTGATCAAATCAAATGAATAAAGTAAGAAAGTTTGTTTAGCTAGAAAAACATCATCATCCGACATTATATAATCATTACCGTATTCAGGCAAACAACAACAACATAGATGGATGATAAATCGGTCAACGTTTTTTTGTTTGTCGATGTGATAAGATAAAATTAATTTTCTTCAAAAGTTCGAGGTTGCTAATAATAATGATGATGATGATGACGATGGCTATTTTCACTTTATCGGTAACTCTAGATCGAAATTGAATCGGGTTTTTTTTTTGAATCCTATAATCAGATCATCGAATCTATTTGGGTGAAAAGAAAACACTGATAATATCATCTTTTTTTTCGTCTATTTTAACCCGGATAACACTCACACACCAGAAGAAGAAACAAAAATGATAAAAATCAACAAGCTATTGTTCTTTCTATTTTCCGACTATTTCGACATCATCATCATCTTGATTTACTACCGCATTTTATTTATTGATGATGATGATGTTTTGACTAAAAAAAATCTTTCTTTCATTATCTTCGAACTGGTATAATCAAGAAACAGAAAATGAAAATTTCTCTCTTTCAACCTGGATCACGACTGAAA